TCATTTCCCACTTCATATTCCATTAATAAGAAGGAAGTTCTTTTGGAAGATTCTTCAAAGAACCGCTATTTTTGGAACAAATTTTCAAGATTATACTTTTCCGACCATTATAATTAAACTCATCTAGTCTTGGGTCAACCATTATCTAATTAAATAGCTCATTCTGTAATTTTCTACCTTGAGTAGCACTTGGGCCTTCTTTTGGGTGAAAAACGGTAAGATAAATTATTTATCCTGACACACGATCTATTGATATATACAGGCTCGTAAGCTCATTTTACTAGTTATATATAATTAAGGAGGTCTGATCTAAAGGTATCGGGTTCTGTTGCTATGTTAACAGAGCAAAAGTATGAAGGATGAAACCGCTTGGCACAGGTTGACCTTGAATTCTGGTGTACATAATCACTAAGTTATAACATTCTAACTAACTTCCATTGTTTATAGCAGTCCTTGGAAGGAAAGTGTGGAGAGTGTGGTCGTCTCATTATATCACATCTGTTCCATCAGAGACCATGGATTGTGCAGGTGTTGTTACTCAAGAAGACAACATTCCCCAATTCCGACAATCACAATATTTCATAGATTTTTGCCTCTTGCAATATACTCTTCTTTCCACCAGTCAAATCCCACTTGAAAGGAGTTTGATTTCAAGACATCCATGAAATCCAAGAGGATTCGACAAGGCAGCTGCCCGCAATCCCCCAAAAGGAACGACTTTCAGGAATGCTGACATCAAAGGAATCGGAGCTGGATAAATTGTATGGCATCAGAAAGAGCCAACTTCAAAGGAGATTACACACTGATTTGATATATGTTGTTGTTTTTTTTGTTTTTTGTTTTTTTATAGCAACAGTCCTGATACTTTTTGACCTAACCTCGTATTTTTAATGACATTTGAAAATTTTCAGATTATTATATTAAACGTGAATAAATTATACTGAAGCTGAATAAATTAGGTTTACACATTGGAAAACAGTCCGACTCCGACAGATGCGAACAAGGTAATTAAAATGTGTGGCTTCATATTAGATTGAGTTAAGAAGCGTGAAAATAACATGGTTTAGGGTACTGTGAACAAAATGATTTTGTGCAGCTGATTGGCTTGATTTAGCCGAGGGCCATCGTTTCAGTATTCTGTATTTTTTCCCCACACAAACATTTTCATTCACTAAATATTTTTTTTTCTTTACGTAACTAGCAATCACTTTCCTTCTTGTCTTCGATGAATTCCTATAGTAAAATCAGTTGCAACACATTTACATTATACATCTAAGAGCTCTATTCTATTAGTAATATTTACTTTGATTCCTGAACACCAGCAGTCTGTTTCTTCCTAAATTTCTACGTATTCCTACAATAAAATACTTAGTAATGAATTCACATTATACATGAAAGAGCAATATTCTATAAGTAATGTTTATTTTATTCCTGACAACCAACAGTTCGTTTCTTTCTGATTAACTATGCATTCTTACAGATAAATAATTAACAAAGCATTTTAAGCATCTATATTCTATATTCTATTAGTAATGTTTAACTTGATTCCTGAAAACTAACAGTTCGTTTCTACGTGATTTTCAATGCATTCCTATAGTAAAATCATTGACAATGCATTTTTCTAAGCATCTATGTGTTCTATTCAATGAGTAATGTCTACCTTGATTCCTAACTTCTATCAGTCCGTTTCTTCATGATTTTCTATCCATATCTATAGTAAAATAATTAGTGATGCATTTGCGTTGGATATCTAAGAGTTATATTTTATTAGTAATGTTTACCTTGATTCCTGAGCACCGGCAGTCCGTATGATGCAAATTTCCTATGCAGATAAATAATTAACAAAGCATTTTTAAGCATCTATATTCTATATTCTATTAGTAATATTTAACTTGATTCCTGAAAACTAACAGTTTCCACCGGATTTCCAATGCATTCTTATAGTTAAATCATTGACAATGCATTTTTTCAAGGCATCTCTGCGTTCTATTCAATGAGTAATGTCTACCTTTTTCCTGACCTCCGTTTCTTCAATATTTTATATGCATTTCTATAGTAAAATAATTAGAGATGCATTTACGTCATATATCTAAGAGTTCTATTTTATCAGTAATGTTTACCTTCATTCCTGATCAGTTCGTATAATCCAGATTTCCTATGCATTTCTATAGTGAAATCGTTATTAATGCATGTCTAATATGCATCTAAGAGCTCTATTCTATCAGGAATATTTAACCTTATGCCTGACTACCAACAGTCCGTTTGTTCCTGATTTACAATGCATTTCTATAATTAAATCATTGACAATACATTTACGTTGCATATCTAAGAAGCTCTATTCTACCAGTAATGATTATCTTGTTTCTTAACGACCGACAGGCCGTGTCATCCAGATTTTCTATGCATTCCTATAGTGAAATTATTAGCAATGCATTTACATAGTATAAGAGCTCTATTCTATCAGTAATGTCGTCCTGAGTAAGACGTTAAACTACATCCAGCAGCAAGGCCTCTGATCAGGTTCTGAGGAGCATGGAACCACCTCTTAATTGCTAGTGTTCCCAGGTCCACCCTGACCCGGGGTGGTAGCAACTGTTAGGATCCCAGCTATGGGCAAATAGTTAACTATTACCAGCAATACTTTTTAGCAAAATTTATTACAATCAATACAATTTTGGAGGAAAAATATAACCAGAAACAGATTTTTGACAAAACAAAATATTACCAGCAATAATTTTTTTTTGTCAGCATTAAATAACCCATTGAGGTTGATATACCGTAAATCAAAATAAACCAAACCAATCTAAACCAAAGAATACATATTCTATTCATACGAATCTATCCTGAATATGTTGTCGGCATTAAATAACCCATTGAGGTTGATATGCCGTAAAATAAAATAAACCAAACCAATCTAAACCAAAGAATACATATTCTATTAATATGAATCTATCCTAAAAATGTTGTCGGCATTAAATAACCCATTGAAGTTGATATACCGTAAAACAAAATAAACCAAACCAATCTAAACCAAAGAATACATATTCTATTCATACGAATCTATCCTAAATATGTTGTCGGCATTAAATAACCCATTGAGGTTGATATGCGGTAAAACAAAATAAACCAAACCAATCTAAACCAAAGAATACATATTCTATTAATATGAATCTATCCTAAAAATGTTGTCGGCATTAAATAACCCATTGAGGTTGATATACCGTAAATCAAAATAAACCAAACCAATCTAAACCAAATAATACATATTCTATTAATATGAATCTATCCTAAAATGTTGTCGGCATTAAATAACCCATTGAGGTTGATATGCCGTAAAACAAAAAATAAACCAAACCAATCTAAACCAAATTATACATATTCTATTAATATGAATCTATCCTAAAAATGTTGTCGGCATTAAATAACCCATTGAGGTTGATATCCCGTAAAACAAAATAAACTAAACCAATCTAAACCAAAGAATACATATTCTATTAATACGAATCTATCCTAAAAATGTTGTCGGCATTAAATAACCCATTGAGGTTGATATACCGTAAATCAAAATAAACCAAACCAATCTAAACCAAATAATACATATTCTATTAATATGAATCTATCCTAAAAATGTTGTCGGCATTAAATAACCCATTGAGGTTGATATGCCGTAAAACAAAATAAACCAAACCAATCTAAACCAAATTATACATATTCTATTAATATGAATCTATCCTAAAAATGTTGTCGGCATTAAATAACCCATTGAGGTTGATATCCCGTAAAACAAAATAAACCAAACCAATCTAAACCAAAGAATACATATTCTATAAATACGAATCTATCCTAAAAATGTTGTCGGCATTAAATAACCCATTGAGGTTGATATACCGTAAATCAAAATAAACCAAACCAATCTAAACCAAATAATACATATTCTATTAATATGAATCTATCCTAAAAATGTTGTCGGCATTAAATAACCCATTGAGGTTGATATGCCGTAAAACAAAATAAACCAAACCAATCTAAACCAAATTATACATATTCTATTAATATGAATCTATCCTAAAAATGTTGTTGGCATTAAATAACCCATTGAGGTTGATATGCCGTAAAACAAAATAAACCAAACCAATCTAAACCAAATAATACATATTCTATTAATATGAATCTATCCTAAAAATGTTGTTGGCATTGAATAACTCATTAAGGTTGATATGCCGTTAAACAAAATAAACCAAACCAAACCTATCAGTAATGTTTGCCTTGATTCCTGACCACCGACATTACGTTTCTGCCTGATTTTCTATGCATTCTTTTAATAAAAAATTGTCAATGCATTTACATTATTCATATAATAGTCCTATTCTATCATTTATCCTTAGGTCATTCCTAACTACTGGCAATCTATTTTCCTGATTTTCTCCGCATTCTAATAGTAAAACAATTACCAGTGTATTTACATTATACATATAATAGCCCTATTCTATCCTAACCACTGACAACCCCTTTCTTCCTCTCTTTCAATATATAGCTATAGTAGAATCCTTAGCAATGCATTTAAATTATACATCTAATATCCTTATTCTATCACTAATGCTTACCATCATTTCTTTTGCGTTTAAGTGTATATAACAATTCAAATTTGAATTAGAATATGATTTTCCGATTCAAATTCTGAGTCATTAACCATTACACCAGCCGCACATCCAATCTTACAGCACCAGGTATTCCCAAGCAATCACCCATCTAGCTAATGACCAGACTTGAACATTCTTAAATTTGGTGATTGTACGGGAACCTGTATTTCAACGTAGTATTGCCATTAGCTCATTAAACCACCAGCGCATCTAAGTATACATCACCTGGTATTCCCAAGCGGTCACCCATCTATGTTCGATCTGATTCGACATTGCTTACCTTCTGTGATCTTGTGTAACCCGCGGTCTCAACGTGATATGGTCTTAAGTCCATTATAACATCCGCAGATACAAGCTTAGAGTACCTGGTATTCCCAAGCAGTCACTCCTCTAGGTAATGATCAGGCTCAACGATGCTTAACTTCGGTGACCGTATGGGAACCGGTGCTTCAACATAGAATAACCTAAGCCCACATTCATGCTTATAATGTCTGGTATTCACCAGAGCTCCACCATCTAGTTAATGACCACATTCAACGTTGCTGAACTTTTGTGATCATAAAGGGAATGGAGTTTTGTGATATTGCTGTAAGAAAAACACTACCATTTTCATCCACGCATGCAGTACCTGATATTCCCAAGTTGTAACCTATCTAGATAATGACCACATTCAACGTGGCTTATTTTCCGTGATCATACAGGAACCGGTATTTCAACGTGATATGGTCTTAACTACATTATACCAACCGCAGATCCAAGCTTACAGCACGTAATATTCCCAAGCGGTTATTCATCTAAGGAATGACCCAGCTCGACTTAGCTTATATTCGTACGAGAACTGATGTTTTAACATATGTCCATAGGCCATAGAAAAACAAGGCATACGAGTTAAAGAAGGATCGTTTAGAGACGTAGAAAGCTACTTTTGGAATAACGCCACCCTCATCTTTATTGGAGACGACACACAGAGAGAAAGCAGAATGTTTTACGCAAGACAAATATTCAATTAAATAAATAACAATTTTGTAAAAACGTTAACACTTGCAAACCGTTATTAATTCCTGTTAATCGAAACTGATGTTATTTTATTACCCGCCTACGATCACCCAAGAATTGATTTTCGCTTTTCGTTAACCGCACGCCTTTTGGACATTAGCCGACGAGCAATGAACCTAATTAGGCAAAACTTATTTACGTGCAAAGGCCACATTTTGTAATGTCGTAAACAAGTTATGTTTCTTTTTCTCTGAACGTTTTCGAACATTACACATGCAACCTAAGTTTCTACCAGAATCACCTCTCTAAATAAGTTCTCAACGGATTTATTCAGTGAGGTGATTCTCAGTGAATTAGAAGTCCAACCAGGATTTAATGGTAGCCGCCGTAAGCTGAATAATCAAAGATATGCAGATGGCACATTGTTGACAGCAGACACAAAAACGAAACTATAAGAACTCCTACAGTGAAGGAAAGAACTAAACATCGATTACAATCAGGCGCATTGTTATGTATCTGTGTTTTATAGATTCGGCAAAGGCGTTCGGCAAAGTACGACACAAAGATCTGTTAGAGATGCTCAGCAATCTTGATATATTCAAAAAAGACATTAGAATAATCAATAATCTATACTGACAGCAAACCAGCTGCATACGGACAGAAAATGAGTTCAGCAGATATGCAAAAATAGAAAAGAGTGTAAGACAATAATGTATCTTCTCACCGGACTTATTTAACCTGTGTAGCGTGGCAAATTATAGAGAATTACAAGTCCTAGTAGGACTCACTACTGGCAAACCCAATATTAATATAAGGTGTGCTGACGACTGTGTTGAAAGCTGCTACAGAAAGGAAACTACAAAAATCCTACAGAATTAGCAGAGTGTTATACTGAAACACACCTATTCTATTGTTAATAGACTCTCTCACCTATAATAAGTAGGAGTAGTAGCAGTCGCCAGGGGGTTCAGAGTGAGTTGATGAGTCAGTCGATGTCGGACATTAAAGTATCAGCCACCACAACTAGATTGCTGCGTCATTAACTATTATTTCAAGTTCCTAACGATTAGTACGTCGAACCTTCTTAGGACCGAGTTAGTGAAATACAAGCCTCCATTGTGAAACTACTCTACAACACATTGGCGACGAGGGATTCGTTCTCATACGGAGAAAGAAAAATGTTTCGTTCACTCTATAACACAGAGGAAAGCTAGAAGAAGGGACTACGTTTAAACTACATTAAGTCATAATGCAGAGTTATGCTTTTGCGGATAAACCGGAAGTGCAAATTGGAAATTGGGGATACTAAAATCAAGCAGGTACAGAAATTTAAAATATCTGGGAAGTAATCCGAAGACTCGTTGGGATGATCAAAGATGCATTCTCTACTGGCAGCAAACCAACTGCATACGGACAGAAAATGAGTTCAACAGATATACAAAAATAGAAAGAGTTGTGGAAAATAAGGGTCTTCTCACCGGACTTATCCAAACTATACAGGCTGGCGATTCATTGAGAATTAGAAGACACAGCTGAATTCATTATTGGCGGTCACAATCTTAACAACATACAGATATGCTGATGAGGTACTGTTGATGGCAGATACAGAAAGGAAATTACAAGAATTTCTACAGAAGATAATGAAGGAAGATGAGAAGAAAGGACTAAAGATGAATTATTAGAAGATAGAATGTATTGTTATCAGCAGAAGCAACAGGGAAAAAATGCACATTACAAAATTGGAAATACCAAAGTCAAGCAAATACAACCTAATAGATATCTGCGAAATGTTTCTTAACAGGACGTAGAAAAACACAACACGAAAATCTAAAGGACTATACGCCGAACTACTGCCAGTCACGATCAACGGATAATCCCTAAGCAGTGCCACAGGGCCTTGAGAGACAAGTGACTCGAGTGGCTCCAAGGCCTTCTACAGCGTAAACCTTCTGTAAAAATAAAAAGCGTTAAGATGCATTCCAAAATCTAAGCAAAGAGTACAGAAAGAGATATTTCGTTTGAAACGAATAAAGAATACTCTATCTCAGACTAACCCCTGATCTCATGTGCAACTCGCATATAGGACCCATCGGTAAAGTGGATGATCGGCTCCCTGTACCGTTCCATTAAGTATCTGACTCTGAATGTCATCCTCTAACTTTACAAGAGCCAGATCGGGCCGAAAATGGAGTACTGTTGTCATATATGAGCGTGAAGTTTCTAGTCACGATAGAGTTCAAAAGCATCTCAGAGTCCTTGTGGGCGATTAATTTACTACTCTCCGACCCTCTCTCTCACAGACGGAACGGGGCGAACAAGTCATTCATCCATAGTTATTTTTATGGTCAGACGGACAAAATTCCTTGGTTCCGTCAGGTCTAACTTTGGCAGCTAGGACCCGTCATGCCATTTATATTGTAGCAAACCACCCACACTCCTTTCATACTCCATTGGTGTGAAGTAAATTCCACCCGTACAAATTCTTCCTGCGAACCACTGCTCTGTGGAACAGACTTCTAAAACAAAGATTCCCAGATCTCTACAATCTTAACCTGTTCATGTTTAGATTTAATCGTTGTCTTGCCCTCCTAACCGTATAAACTATACCTTAACGTAACCCTCTACCTCGAGTAGCTCCTAGGCCTTCTACAGCGTAAACCTTCTGTAAAAATAAAAAAGCGTTAAGATAGTAAAAAATGCATTCCAAAATCTAAGCAAAGAGTACAGAAAGAGATATTTCGTTCGAAACGAATAAAGAATACTGAACTGTTATCTAATATCCCTAGTCAGTGGGTACTGAACATTCTCCTCACAGATGAAGAAGAGACGAGAAGCAAGAGAAACAAAGAAAAGAGTACTTAGCTGTTATGTAATATCAGTTCTCTTATATGGCAGTGATTGCTGGTCAACCTACTCACAGATGAACAAGACACTTGAAGCAACAGAAATGTGGTTCTACAGAAGAATATTGAGCATACTATGGATCGAACATGTGAATAACGAGGAAAATTTACAAAAAATAGAAACAAAAAGTACACTTAATCTTAATGTCGCTAAGAGACAGTTGAGGTTTCCGGCGTACATAATGAGGAAAGGGGGCTTGGAAAAACTGATACTCACAAAACAGATTGAAAGCAAGTGGGACAAAAGAAAACAAATCATAACCTACTTAGATAGGTTGAATAAATGGATCATGGTATAGGAGATATAAAAGGAAGAATATAAAAGAATTTGGTAGTTTGTTTTAAAGCGATTTTCAGAAAATTGTCGAAAAGACAAAGGGTATTTTTTATGTATAAATGTCGATTAGATAGAGAGAGGATCACAAAAATTCTTCACAGTGTTCCCAATCAGGTTTGCACCTTCCCAAGTCAGAAGAAAATCTTGAATTTTTATGTCGCCTTCATCGATCATCACTGCCTTCATTCCAATTCCAGATTGGTTTTCATAGTTCTATTTCGCGGAACACCTCGTAGAATATATGACGATTTTCTGTTCAAATCTTCTTCTATGCGACGTGTCCCTTCATGTTGTGGTTGATCATGACTCTCCCCATCAAATAGAAGTCAATGTGAAGTTTAAGCATCTGATTGGCGAATGTCTTCCCAGATTTCATTGACTTAAATCACTTGTCCCTAGAGTAAATCGATAATAATTTAATATTTCAGGCAAATAGCAGGACTTTATAACCTACGAATGTGGGAAGGTGGCCGAATGTTTAGTACGTTTGCTTTCCCCCCATAAGATATGGTTTCGAATCTCACTGTGGTCGAATTGTCAGGATCTGACCTCTTCAATATCTTTATCTCCTTTTTTTTAAGCGTTTCACCCCAAGCAAGGCGAGAAGCCACTAGGACGCAAGGGGTTACAGAAAATTTGGAGCAAGATCAGATAGGAGTGATAGATGAAAGGATGAGGAGGAGGGTAGTGGATAGATCAAGGCAACTGGAGATGTCGATTGACATTACATTTGAATAGTTGGAGATTATAGCTCTCAGGGAAACGGGAATAGAGAAGGGAGTTCCACAAACGAGAGGTGCGAGACATGAAGCTATTGGAGTAGAAGAGACGGCTAAATTTAGTAGTTTCGACAGTGAAAGAGTGAGAGCGGGATGCCAGTCTCGTAGGGCGCTTGAACTCATGAAGTCTGGGAACCAGCGAATGCAGCTCCTCGGAGCAATTGCCATGAAATTATTTGTAAAACAGAGAGAGGCGACGGCGCGTCTGTGAGAAAGTGACTGTAGACGAGATGCCAGAGCAGGGCCAATTATATTGCATATCCGCCTCTGGAGCCTATCAAGAACCCCGAGGCAAACAGAAGGGGCTCCAGACCATATATGGCAGCAATACTCCATTCAAGGGCGAATGGTTGATTTGTAGATCTGGAGGATCGATTCCGGGGAGAAAAATCTCCTGGCGCGGCACAGGGAGACAACTTTCCTTACGGTGGACGAAGCA